GAAGGCTTGCACGGTTTGCCACCGTCTTTTAAGTGGGATCGTTAGATTGCGGATCGTGGGACCAAGTTCAGTGAGATAGCCGCGGCAAAATACAACACTAACTACACCAACTTGCGCCTGGAGAGCAGAGATTGAGTGCGGCATTTTGGGACAAGAACTTAAACCACTTTGCCCGAACGCAGCAAATTCCGAGATGGGCTCTGTCGTGTACAATACACTGTGAAGACCCATAAAGAACCACTATCCTATGATGTTTTTCTTCAGACTGCTACCGCGATAATCAAAGGATCTTCAAGTAATACACATAGCTCCATAACCTCGCGCGGAGCACATGCATTACGAATAATCCCACTGATCATCCTTTAAGTTCCAACATCCCACTCAAACGAACACAATATTCAGGTGGTATAAGTTCAGAATGACGAAAAATAACTCACGATCTTATTGCCGACGACATCTAATAGGTCCACTTGTCCAGTGTTCCATTTTGGGCGAACACGTGGGCATAGTGCGGATCATCCATACATGTATATCCCACAGAAGATCAAGAGAGTCCTTGAAACCATGGTATCGGTATCATTTCGGGAATTTCACTGTGCGTATTATTGTGCGCGCTTAGTTGACTACGACAGCCATTTGAGATAGTAGTCATTGTGAGTGTACATTCAGCATTTAATCCATAGGTGGCTAGGCAGCTAGGTTCATCAGAACACGAGGGTATTCGAACTCGCAAGCATCTGCAACTTTTGACAAAACAGTCAATGAGCAAGAAATGCCTGATTAACGGGGACATGGTATCAGTGATTAGTTTGCGAAGAGTTGCATTTCAGAAGGGTGCAGGAAAGTCTGAAGATCATATTAATTTGAAAAAGGATGTCAGTATTAAAGCCTGATGAGACTAAAGACCGTCCAGGTAGTGAGAAATCTAAGATTGATCCAAGAATGTCCTCACTGAGGTGTAGGAAAGATTCCCCACTACAAGTCCGAACCATCTGACGGCAACACAAATCGATGAGGAAAGCTTGGAGCCTAGGGCTCTCACACTGAACGTGGTTAGTTGTAAAAACTTCAAGAACGCCATATTCTCGGCTCAAGCTTTTAGAACAGTGAGACAGTAGGAATTTAGGGTANATAAACTGTCAACTGGACTAGAACACATTTCTACGCTGTGCAAAGACCGCCCATAGGAAGAATTTTATTAGTGGTGTCGAGGTCCGCGCTTGTTTCACTGTAGCTGCTTCAAAACACAGTTAATTTGGAATAACTGTTTCACACCGCGGAAAGTAGGCGGGAAAAATGACTATTTTGTCCACTGAATATTCCCATCATGACATTAAGAAAACACTGTGGCGAACAAGGCTTGTTTTCGATAAATTCCTCCTCGGGCTAATGCAGTTATATATAAGGTTCAAAACTGAAGACCTTGCAGGCAAGGGACTCCAAGCAAGCGAGGACGCATTCAAGGTGCTCTGCGAAGTACGAGCAAACCTATCCGAAGCTGTTCGTCAACGGCATCTTGCTATTCACCTACTCAATCCACCACTTTGGTCTCCTAGGGGTTCGTTCAGTTACGTCGCTTACCCGGTCTCAACCTGACACAGACGACCGAAACGACCGTGACCTTTGTCATGACCCATGGGCGCAGACCGGAAATCGAACAGCTCACTCTATCCAGCGACTGTGAACATTTCCAAATCATACAACAACAACAAAAAGCTCTGCCCTTTTATTTCCAAACCACATGCCACAAGATCACAATCCATGAATCATATTCGCCACATTAGAGCATTACACTAGTTTGATAATTTGGAACCCTATATATTATTAGCCCGAGAAAGAAGTTACTAAAAACAAGCTTTGTTCGCTACAGTATTTTTTCACATGCAGTGTCACTGGGGCGAATTTCAAATCATAAGCTCTCGGGGAATGTGGTGACCCGGGCCTGCGAGATGATGCCTACACTGGAGCGACTCCGTTTTTGAACAACTGCGATCAATCAAACTTCACGGGTGACATCAACAACTGTTTCTGACTACATACCATAGGTGGATCGTACCAGCCAATCAGATACCTTGCGGCCCGACAGAAACAGAACGACGCAAGCAATACTGAAAGGTGATTGGTAGAATCCCAGATAACCAATGAACTTACTTTGTGCATTTTATTTAATTCCCATTATTTCTTCCAATAAATGAGCTACTACTCCTGTGACCTTTTCCTCGCGTCTCAGTTGCGTGGGAGGTTACGCGGTAGTGCCAGTGCGGTCCAGTGCTTACGTGATTCAGTCCGTGATTGATAGTCCTTGATTCGTATTCCGTGATTCGTATTGCGTGGTTGATATTCCGAGTTCAGTGCGTACTACTACTACCATTGCGATAATCATTACAGGGAACCTCATGAGCATACGCTATTTTAAAGCAGCACAGGTTGTGCGCAGGACGGACAGCTGAGTGCAAATCAAGCTTAACAATTCCTGTGAGAATGTTCACTATGATTACATGTTAAATATTTTCCCAAATAATAATCTATAAATAGAAACCAGATCTATCAGGGAGACAGCAACGGGAAGAATGAGTAAAATATATTCCTTAATTATTATTGCATTGTAATAAAATATAAACTGGAATTTCCCTGGATCAGGAAAAAACTAGTAGTATAGGGTATCTGCAATGCTTAGCAACCGTGTGAGTAAACATTTATCGTGATTGCTTGTATCTCACGGGATCTTTTGGGTTCGATTTCTGATGCTACGGTGATATGATATGGTATATCTATCGTAATGCGCAATCCACGGAGGACCTGTCGAAATTTCATGTTCCCGTCTTTTGTATCGCCACTCCCGCTTGAGCTTACACCGGCATTCCATCGTCCATGACTGACCAGCCTCGTATCGTTCAAAGTCCCGAGAATACGAGCCGGCACGAAATCAGCTGAAGAGTGGTGTCGGCTCTGCTTCACCTGAAGAATCCCCAGAGTACGTTTGCATTACGCTCCCTGCATGCTATTTGACAACAGTAAGGAACCTGAACAGGAAATAGTGCTTTCTGTGGACAAAGTACAGCGAGCATATTCAGACACTGTTGCGTGAACTCATCGCTTTTTCGAGTAGAAATTCAGGCATGTTATATTCGTACACGCCCTTTTCATTGAGTCCGGAATACTTTTCCTGAGAGTCACTATTTAGAAACGGGGATGATTACTCCACTTGTCAGGTTTTGATATGTGATGTGAGTGAGCATGTTGGAAACCTTTATCATTTTTGGAGACAAGTCGATCTAAATTAGGAATGTTTTGAACTCATCCTGCAGTGTAGATATTTTGAGTNACACCCTCCAGATGACGCAAACCAAGTGCCTACGCGCGCCAGTTTCTGGACATAGAGTCATAGACCAACAGTATCGATCGTTCAACTGTCGGATAGTTCAAAAAGAAGCCATTTAACTCAAAGAACTAGAACGGTCATTGATTGATACCCGTTTGACTAATGACATTTCTATTTACTCATTATTTGACTCTATTGATTTCTCTCAACAAACATCATGCTCACAGAGGCCCCGGAGTGATGATTATCCAGATACGACGGCTCTGTTTTTATCATTGTGTGTCCTATCTGAACAGGATGTCTTTATTATGAATAGTATATAGATGACTGCGAAAAGGTTACCAGAGGCACACGACCGGTGTCGTGGTCCTTGCTGCTCGTCAGGTATGCGTATCCGGCAATCTTCTGTCTTCGCTTTATCGGTAACCGGACACCTTGTTTGGTCCCGATATCTTGTCCAGACTTCTCCACCGTACTGTAGGTGGAATACCCCGGGTGATTTTGTTTGCTATTCTTCCTTCAATTCCAGCTGACGTGATGGAATAAAACTATGAATTTGGCAAAAAAGACTGGGTTTCAGGGTGTGATCTACAGTGCGTTTGCTCTGTCGTTTCTCCTTCACCCGTGACCTCAAGTAATTCACTCCCCGCCGGTCCTCGCCCCCTCAGATTGGATCATTTCTCTCTCTCTCTCTAGTCGCTTGCATCTGTAATTGAATTCGTTTTTCACAGAGGCAAGTATTTTTACTAGTTTGAAAATAAACTGGTTCTTGATCAGATAAGACTGATGAAAATCACTTTCGATTAATTACTCCCGTGTATTATTGTATTTCAATGTGCCCTAAGACAGCGGATACCGGGTAATTTTGATTGATTTGATACGGATGGATTTCTCATCATTTTTCCACAGCTTCACTCAATCAATCAATTGAGACAAAATGCACTTCCCAAGATCAACGGCATTCGCATTTCAACAACCTGAGTAACAATTCAGTTTGACCAATCTGACATAAGTCTTTCCAATCCACAGTGGTAGTCGGGTACGGTAGATCCCAGTTGGGTGTGGTTCATCGTGTCATATATGCGAGTGTATGTGCGTGTCTGTGAGTAAGTACATCGACTAGTGCGTTAGTCAAATCCCTGAGGCAACAGCATCGTTGGCAGACTACCACCATCAGCCACAACAACAACAACCAGGACACCATGAACAAACACAGTAACCCGGGGCAACCGCCCAAAATCCCCATGACCGATTGGACAGTATAGTCTACACAGACAGTAGTGGATGACTATTGGTTCATTCATTTGGAATCCAGTGGTTGGTTCCTTTGTGCCTCCGCAAGATACGAGCAAATCGGTTGGCCGCTTGGGTGGATAGGGGGAGCAAGATGCGAAAGTTATAAGATGACCTAGGAAAAGTGAGTAATCTTTCCCCAACCACCCCTGGATTGCACATGAGAGAATAATAGGCCAGCTGTGTTCTAGTCTGCACCAGGGAACAAAATGTGCCAACTGATTGTTCACCTACTTTAATGAAAAGAGTTTTCGTGGTTGATCAGGGACTGGGATCACTACGCTTCTATCACTGTATTGGTGTACTGGTGTATTGGAGTACTTGGTTGTGATAGCATGATCCGGTGGAAACCAATACACCTTCCTTGAGTTCGATCGCATTTCACATGCGTACGGTCCGTGTGCCAAATGCATCGGATCACACGGCAGTGGGTCACCGCGATCAGCACACTACCCATGGCGGGATAAAATCTCCACGTCTTCCGCAATTCACCTCAACCAATTCAATTCCGTTAACCGTGCAAATTCCTTCGCGAATCGTTCGGTCCGGTTCCACATCGTCCGAAGTGGATGTGACCACAGCAGACTCATGGAGTGAAGTTACCGCATCTGCTGCGGATAGTAATCTGGAAGAGGATCTGTTTGAACAGCCCACCGGGTTCGCACGAACCACTTCCGTATCCAGCCTGTCCAATCTGGTCCAAATGAACACGCGTACCGGCCCCGGATCTGAGCACGTGCATCACCTGCTTGCGGTTCCCGTGACCAACCAAAGTCCGGACGGATCCACTCACGTGATTCATATATACAACCGACTGGACGAGGCGAACTGGACGCGAGAGTCTGTGGACAAATTGAATGCGAGTTGGAGTCTAAGTCAGGCTAGTCCGAATCGATCCAGACGAGCAGCACAACACCCGGATCGAACCACGAGACAGGCACCCAGTCCTAGGGTGCAATTTCGTTGCTCTCCGAAACCGTCAAGTCCAAGCCCGACAAATCAGCATAGATCACGTTCTCAATGTACACGTAAGATAGTCAAAAACTTCTTGTTTCACTGGATATCAGAGGGTCACTTCCATCTGACTTGTGTTTGAAAAACCACCAACTATGTAGATCAATGCTTATTGTTGAACCCATCGTACTTTTTCTGCGATTCCTTCTATATTTAACAAATGTATCTTCTTTATAAATTAATAGTCGAAATCCTGTAAAGACGGAAGAAACACTGTACCAGAAAGCATTAGTTAGTATATCTCCGAACTTGACAAAGTTGACAAACTATTCTACGGATACTAGTAATTGCTCACTACATTTGCTTTATGTTCTCACGAGCCGGAACCAGTGAACTCCAAATGATTGTGCTAGCGGAAAGCACTCGTTTGTACTTCTCACGGGACCACGATATTCGAATTAGCTAGGGATCTCTTTGATAAGTCGAGTGATTCCCAGAAAAGGGTCATGTAAGTGAGGTGCCCGAAACTACCTTTTCAAAGTATTTCACAACTCGCCCAACGCCACTTATTCATTGCTGAGTGTTGATCGTTTTTTTGCTAGCCAGTGTCATACGCACATTGCTTGATTTAGAGCACCCCGCGAAGCCAAAGCATTCATACAGAAACTGGAGCTCGATGTACTCTTTAGTTTCACTATGTGGACGTTGATTGACTTCTTTGAGTAATCAACTATTGCACAAGCAATTGTAGACAATCACTGAATCATTTCGAATCAATAAGTACATAATTTCTCAAAGTAACGGGTTTTTCGGAATGATTTCGACCTATCCCACCACCCTTCCAATTTGAGCATGAAAGGGTGGTTCATAGGGTAACAGGCTGTCGTATTTGTTTTTACCACGGTTACAATAACCATATCAGATTATCCCCGTGTACAGTCTCATTGGGTGCCGATCAGCTGTCTGGTTCTAGCTGTGCATCAAATCACTGTTATGTTCGGGTTAT